TGAGCCCAGAGTTGGGCTGTGTGCTGATCGCCTGGAGCCTGCTTGGGATTCTCTCTCTGTCTTCCTCTCTCTCCGCCCCTCCCCCATTCACACTTTTTCTTTCTCACTCAAAATAAATAAATAATCTTTAAAAAATTATGTTTAGGTGACATTTCAATATTATTTCTTATAAAACTCAAGGAAGTAGATTCTTAGTGATTTTTAATCAACAGAAATAAAAATCTTAATAAATTTTTATTAAAATACCAATATAAATATGTTAATTTCTTAATGGGAGAGTATACACTGCTATTATAACTTAAAACCACAATAACTGCCTGGTGAAAAACATTTCTCCAAAATGTTCAGGGACGCTGTACACATTGTAAACAATGTGAATGGGCCAGACAAGAATTACATAGAAGGCAGGAAAGGATTAGAATACCAAAATGAAACAATGTTTACTTCTAAATTGTGAGTGATGTAGAGGAAATTGAAAAAGGAGTAGGCTACTGGATGACTTTTTAACATCCTGTTAACACTAAGTTCCTGCATTTCTTTTGAAAGAAATTAATTGGGAATATCAGTGAACTCTCACTTAGAACAAATAGGGTGTTAAAGCTAAAGAGAACATGGTAAGGAAGTGCAAGTTTTTGGTCTTAAAATATGTCAGGTGCATTTTAATAAAGATGCATGACTATAAGCATTTATCAAATGGCATAATCAAGATAATTATCATTAAACATGTGTATAATAACTTCTTCAGAGACACTAAAAATTAATTTAATTATTGTAGAGAACTCTGGGGAAGATGAAGCAAATGGATTTTTTTTATTTCTAGATATCTCCTTTTATTTATTAGTATCCCCTCTCATTTCTTCTTAACATAAGCTAGAAAGGAAAATTATATAAAGATATGATATTCTTGAATTATGTTAAATCATAAATAATAAGTAAAAGAAGACAGAACACATTATTAATTTTTAGTCTTTTTATAAAGCCAAGATAATTATTCTGGTGGTCATTGAACTAGCCCCATCTCTCTATCATCTATGCATCTACATATGTATCTGTCTATCTATTGGTAGTCCACTGTGCTTTCATCATGATCTAAGAGCTTTGAAATATATATATATATATGTGTATATATATATGTATGTGTGTGTGTATATATATATATATATATGCTTTAATCATGATCTATATATATAGATAGATCTATATGTATATAGATCTATATATATAGATATAGATATATATATAATCATGTATATATATATGTATGTATGTGTGTGTGTATATATATATATATGTGTGTATGTGTGCATATGTATGTGTGTGTGTGTGTGTGTGTGTGTATATATATATATATATATATATATATATATATAATCATAATCACTCTGATAAAGTCCTATCTAACTATTGTTCCAAATAAGAGTAAGTCTCAGGACAATCAAGTTGTGCCATTGAATGAATGTGGCATACATGTCCAAGGTGGCCTAAAACCTTCTGCTAGGAAGCAAAAAGAATATCAGTGTTGAGGATATCCAATTTACAGGAGATAGTGACAGAAGTTAGGCTTCAAAAATAATGTAATAATCTATGAACAAATGCAGCAACCTTATCAGAGGTCCAGTGTACAAGGCAACACACTGGGTGACCTGTCTCCATTTTACCCCCAAAAGTATTACTCCACTTCCTGCAAAGGAAAAGAATGGATTACAGACCAAGTGTTTGAACTTCTTTGGCCCAATGATGTAGTTAGGGAGACAGAACCATTTTACATTTTATCTTTGATCATGGTAGACTTTCTCTTGCCCTCAAGGTCTCACTTTCCACTTCCAAATACCTCCAAGGAATTTGTACACAGTATCCTAATTAGTAGAAATTCTGCAAAAATTGTTGAGATAATATACCTTATCCCTCACTACACCGGCATCACTATTTACTGAATTTCTAAACATGAAGGTGAATATGGCTAGACTGGGCACCCTAGCATGGTTTCTCATTGCCAGCTCACCCCAGCTCTGCCAAGATGATGGGTTTGCCAAGGCACTTATTTCTTAATCGCAAGAAATCTGAAGCACAATCTGAAGAAGTGATATTTCCTCTTACAATTATGAGAACTTCTATCACTAGTGGTAATAGGCATCACTTTTAATTTAACTGTCCAGCCAACAATTTAATTCAACTTCCTATACAGCATAGACAGAAGACACCATGGGTGACAATGTCATTTATACTTACTTGCCCTGGGAAATGTTATCTATGGACAATTCTGTGAAAATGTGTCATCTTTGACAGTGTCCTGTATCAACTAACTCACCCTGTCAAAGCTGGAGTGCAGATATTTCTGAGTTCATTTATGAGATCTCTGAAGAGTTGACACAATATTATTTTTTTCTCACATATAAACCTGTCCCTACTCCTATTTTTCTTTCAAAAGAGTTCTGAAATTATCATGGAGTATTTTTATTTTATTGTTTATATTTCTAAATTGTCACCGGAGCCTTACTTATGATATTCATAAATTGTTGCTTCTTCTTAGTGAAAGAGGGTGAGTTTTCCAGAAGTAATACCTACCTTGATGGAATATATTACATATTAAAAGTTATTAAAGTTGGGGCGCCTGGGTGGCGCAGTCGGTTAAGCATCCGACTTCAACCAGGTCACGATCTCACGGTCCGTGAGTTTGAGCCCCGCGTCGGGCTCTGGGCTGATGGCTCAGAGCCTGGAGCCTGTTTCCGATTTTGTGTCTCCCTCTCTCTCTCTGCCCCTCGCCCGTTCATGCTCTGTCTCTCTCTGTCCCAAAAATAAAATAAACGTTGAAATAAAAATTTTTTTTAAAAAGTTATTAAAGTAAGGGCACCTGGGTGGCTCAGTTGGTTAAGTGTCTGACTTCAGCTCAGGTCATGATCTCACCGTTTTTGAGTTTGAGCCCCACATCAGTCTCTGTGCTGACAGCTCAGAGCCTGGAGACTGCTTCAGATTCAGTCTCTCTCTCTCTCTCTCTCTCTCTCTCTGTCCCTCCCCTGTTCACACGGTGTCTCTCTCTCTCTCTTAAAAATAAATAAACATTTAAGAATTATTCAAGTAATTTTTAATTAGCACAAAACAATTTGCTTTTCCTTTAAGGTGTTTTCTTAGAAAAGTTTGCATCTTGCTTTTATAGTAGTAAGCTATATAGTTTTTTTTTGTTTGTTTTTTTTTTTGTTTTTTTTTTTTTAGTTTTTTTAAATAAACAAACTTTTCTCCCTTTTTTTCCTTTGTCCTTGTTATGAAACGCATTCTGTGCCTATCCAGCTGTGCTGGCTGTGTGTCAGTAATGTGAATCACTGCCTGATGTTCTCTGTACACGAACAGGAACTAACGCAAAGAAAAATAAAAGTTATTGCTTTTGGATTTTGTTTACAGCCAAATATTAGGGATGGAAGGCAACTGTGTGATTTTCGATGAGATTTAACTATAACTGTTTTTTTTCAATTTGTCAACGACATTGATAGTTTTGGTTAGTTGTAGAAGATCAAAGAGATGGAATTGGGACAAGAAAAGAAATGGTCTTCAGAGAGATCTCTTGATTATATTTTAGCTAGGAAATCCCTTGACAATAGTATCAAACATTTTTATTAAAATGTCATGAAATCAAAACATTACTGATAAGGTGTTAACTAAATTTGGGTTTTTCAAATCCATAAAGTCTTGCAATAACCAGTCCACTGGTAACATAAGAGTATATCTCTTTCTGTCCTTCAATCTCTTTTTATGAATTGATTAGAATCACAGTATTTGAGACCTGGGGAGAAGGTTATAAATTATGCAGTGAAATACTTGAGAAATATTACTGCTTATTTTTACAGATAAGACAATCAAATTCCAGTAACCTTAAGGGATATACTCAGACTCATACAGACAAATTTTGTCAGGATCAAGGTTAGCATTTAATTTCCTGACCAAGTCTACTCTGATTTCCAGTATACCCTTTCCATTACTTGCCTGTCCTCTGCTCTAATATCAACAAAGAAAATAACTCAATGGTGTTTACTAAACCCTACATTGTCTCTGACAATTAAATGAAACTGTCATTTGACCCATGTCATCAACTGGCACTTGGATTGAGATGGGTTACACCTGGGTTAAACCATACGCTGGGACTCACAAGGTTCTAATTAAAGAGCAATTGTACTTCTCACTGCCAATCAGAAAAGAAGCAGATTTACAAACATATTCTCATGCCTCATGGATGAGAAAGCTTTAATAAAGCCAGTTGGCTAAAACAGTACTTTTTTTTCCTCCCTCTCTCTCTCTCCCTAAGGAGGGGAAGGGTGAGAAAGAGTCCAAGGGCAAAAGTGAATCCGTGGATGAAGATATGCCACGTAGCTCTCAGGAAAAAAAAATAGTTCATATCTTTCAGGAAAAAAAAAGGCCTAAATCCCACATTCTAAAAGTTAAAAAAAATTGAGTTATCTCTGCAATGATCTGCAAACTATAAGTCAGGCTTATTCAGTTCACTTTTATTACTTTATTAACTTCTTCCTTTAAAAAAGGGGGGAAAGAGAGCTTGTAATTCTGCCTTTTATAATGTGGCCATGTGAAGAATGGGGGCATGGGTACACTATGGGGAGTATGTAGTTATGTAATTAAATATTTACATGATGCATACTTTGTGTGTCAATAAGTTAAACTCAATATAGAGTTCTTCTTTGAGAACTCTGCATTTCTGCAAGTGGCAAGAACCAAAAAGCTTGTTACAAGCCCCGTTCTCCTCATCCTGTTATGAATAGTTAAAAGTCTGTCCTTTATCTTGTGGGCCCAGACGGTTAAGTATTGCATAAATATTGTTGACCGAGTAACTACTGCTATTTTTGTCTCTGACTCTTTGCAGGGCCCAAATGCTAACTCCATTTACCGAAACCTCCTTGGTTAAGGGTTCTGGAAAGTTTCAAGAACATGAAATAAGAAAACAGTGATAAGCTGCCTTAGAAATGCAATTTTACAAAGTTGTCAAGTAAACCTATTAGAGCCAGGAAAATGTTGTTAAGTATGGTAAAAATCTCCATCTTAGGGAGAAAAGGACAGTGAGCATTGCTGCCTTCCCTCCTATTCTCCTTTACCCACAGGTTTCCTCCCCCAACTTAAGAGTATGCATTAGGAAACAGAGGAGGGACAGTTTTCATGGGAGAAATGGGAAGAAGGAAGACTGGAAGAATGTGTGCACATACGGGGATAGGAGAAAGAATTTTGGAGCCCAGAGTAGCTTCTATTGATTGTAGCTCTTTGACCTGGATGGTAAGTATTGCCTTTTGGTCTGGAGATCATTTTGGCTTAGAAATGATGGGAGATGAAGTTGGCACACAGAGATTGGAGCAGATAGATCATTGCCAAGGACTTATTTTCAACCGTTGGCTCAAAGGCAAAAGATTAATGAGCCTGTAGATAATTCGTGTATTTGTTAGCTTAGTTTAGAAAATACAAGTGCTCAAAACTCTCAATCCAATATGAAGCTTGAGTTTCCCTGGTGTCATGTTTTAACACTTTCTTCCAATCGGGAGAAATGACTCTTCCAAGTGACTCACTTTTATTTCAGATGGTTTGCTTGCTACTGTCCTTTCCCAGAGAACAGGATTACCATTCCTTAGAAATATTATTTGGAGGGTATATTTCTCCTGGGTAGAAAGTGAGACAGAGATTTTGCAATAGAGAAATGCAGCATCATGTGAAAGGAGGAGGAAAAAATGTTTAAGAAATCTCAGCATTGCCTGTGTAATTCCTTACATCTTCTGTAGTGACAAAACTCGTTTCTGAGAAAGCTTTTAAGTGGGCATTTCAGTTCTAGGAAGTGAAGCATCTATAGGGAGAAGTTAAGAAAATACATAAATTCCCCGTGTAGTGAAGTAAATGGTGTTAATCTTAGAGAGAAGACTGTCTGTTTTGTTTATTTGTTTGTTTGATTTGTTGCATGTGGGTTTATTCTGTATGTTGTTGGTTAGTAGGATGGGAAGGAAAAATGGTAAGCAGTGAGCCTCTTTCAATTCAGACAAACTCTTAAGGAGAGTGACAGACACAAAAGAGAGTTATTTTATGCAAATGGATGAAAAACTTAAGAAACATGATATCTATGTTCTGTGTTGTGATTCTCCTCCATCATCTTCAAGTTTTCCATATAGTCTCATGCACACACTAGCCGTGTGTTAATGGAGTCTTACAGAGTGATTTATGTCCACACTTGGGACTAGCTGGTGCAGGGAAAGAATGGTGCCCACCATGAACAGTGAGCAATGAGGTAGTGGTGATTAAAGCAAGCCAGGAGTTCAGTGGGGAGATAGGAGTGACCAAGAAAAAAGATATGTGTTCTGATCATCTTCAGAATTATGGCAGATGGCTCTGGACACAATACAGTTACATTAGGTGAAAAAGGATTTGGAGACTTTTGGATTACCTAAAAAAAAAAAAAAAAAAAAAAAACCTGTTATCAAATTATTTCAGAATGTTGAGAAACTAAAATTAGAACTTCCAAATATCTATAAATTATGTCTATAAATAACATTCTTCCAGTGGTTTAAAAAGCAACTCATTGCAATCAGAGAGGATCTGGAGGATGAAAGAAAGAGGGTGACCGAAAAAGAGAAGAAAGGCTGTTGCCCACTTGGGGTAGCCTTGGTACAGATCCTGCTGCTGCTCAAGGGAAGTGGAAGGTCTGGTTTATGTCAGCTTCTATTCTGGGCATGTGTGTAGTCATCTAAGGGTGAAAGGTCTGTACTGTCCTCAAGAGCATAATTACAGGATGAAACATTTTTGAAATTCATTTCCACATCTTTTCACAGTTAGTGGACAAACATACTTGGAGACAGGGGAAAGATTGGAAATACGAATCTTTGACCTTTAGGAAAGAGCAACAATCAGCAAGTAGACTTTACAAAGTTTTATCTGTTAAGAACAAAGAATAAAATATTATGTTATCTCTCTATATCTAGTTTAAACGAGTATTTTTTAAAAAATATTTATTTATTTTTGAGAGAGGGAGAGAGAGACAGAGCGCAAGCAGGGGAGAGGGAGACACAGAATCCGAGGCAGGCTCCACGCTCTGAGCTGTCAGCACAGAGCCTGACAAGGGCTCAAACTCACAAACCACAAGATCATGACCTGAGCTGAAGTCAGATGCTTAACCGTCTGAGTCACCCAGGTGCCCCTAAATGAGTAATTACTTTAATACAATTTCATATAAGTTATTTGAAAAGGCTACACATTCCTTGAAGGTGGTCATATATTTATTTTCCTGGAATTCTACAGTGCCTTATGTCTAACGGACCCTCAAGTTTATTAAGTGAAATAATTCAAGAAGAAATGTTAATACTTTAAATACTCAGAATCTTTAAAGTATTGTAAAATATTCAGAAAAATATCTTTGGATTACTGTAATTTGATTAGTATAAATAGTATAAATTCTTAGGTATATATTTACATTTAATGTATTAAATAACAGGTTTCAGTAACATATACACCTAAGAACTATCTTTAAAAGATTAGAAAATAGATTTTTCTCTTCTTTATTCTGCACTAAAATCTACCATATAAAAAAAGTTCCAAATTCTTTGGGGGACAGAATTATGAGTCTTCTGAAGTATACACAACATTACTATCTTTAGTAACCTCTAGGGTTATTCTAAGGTGTCAAAGAATATTTTTACATCAGACTTTTATTCTCTGATGATTTTAATCCCAACAAAAGTGAAGCTCTCCAGAATTAGAGCCTGAGTTCACGAGGTCCCGTTTTCATGTTGGCTTTTTTGGTCAGAACCTGAAGGAGAGCACATCATATCACAGAAATATATATTTCATTGTCCATAACAGTGTATGCCTGAAGGCTACTCTTTGTACACCAGGATACTTCACGGGTAAAATGAGGCTCTCAGTCCTTTTCATTGTACTTACTTGGTCAGATTGCAAGTTTGACTGAGACAGGTATTACATTGTTAGGAAAAAGAGTACCTTTTGCTTTCAGTTAGAGATTTCCCTAAAAACCCAGTTTCCCCATTTAGCTCTATTTGCATCTATAGATGATCTTTGGATGTTCTTAGCTAGAACTGTGGGCCAGAAAAACTAAAAAAATCATGTGAGATGCTGACTTTTGGACTGAATTCAGAACATTACTATGTGACACAGAGATCACAGTAATAGTGGGGTGCCTGGGTGGCTCAATCGGTTAAGCGTCTGACTTCAACTCAGGTCATGCTCTCACGGCTCATGAGTTCGAGCCACTTGTCGGACTCTGTGCTGGAGTCTGTTTCAGATTCTGTGTCTCCCTCTCTCTCTGCCCCTCCCCCGCTTGCTCTCTGTCTATCTCTCACTCTCTCTCAAAACTAAATAAACATTTAAAACAAATTTTAAATGACAGTGGTAAGATCAAATTGGAATTCTTTTTTTTTTTTAATTTTTTTTTAACGTTTATTTATTTTTGAGACAGGGAGAGACAGAGCATGAACAGGGGAGGGTCAGAGAGAGGGAGACACAGAATCCGAAGCAGGCCCCAGGCTCCGAGCTGTCAGTGCAGAGCCTGACGCGGGGCTCGAACTCACGGACCACGAGATCATGACCTGAGCCGAAGTCGGCTGCTCAACCGACTGAGCCACCCAGGTGCCCCAAATTGGAATTCTTTATACCAGTCGTTGCATTTCATCCGTAGTTGCTAAAACATAACTGTAATTCATATATATTTTAAAATTTTTCTATCATATCATATATATTATATATCATACCATATATATTATATATTTTATATATAGTATATAAAATATATATTTTTTCAAATATTATGTCAGTGAATAAGAAAGATGATGTTCACCAGAAGATTGATCTGTGGATGGGAAGTATCATTTTGAGAAGTATGAAGTATAATGGATAGAGAAAAATATTTTAAATAGGTCTGGATTATAGTATTATATATTTAAATAACTATAATTTAATTACATATTATGTATTTATATAACATACATATTTATAAACACATACACCACCAAAATAACTAAATAATGCTTCTGACACCAGTGTCTCATGATAAGGAAAAATTAAACAGAATCTTATAAGCAATGTGCTATAGATGCTTTAAGAAAATCATTTTGATATTTGCTGAGTCACATTTTGTTAATGAAAAAGTTTTTTGACAGAAAATGAAATATTACCCATGATAAGATTTACAAATTATTGAGTAGTAGAAAACGTATTTGTTTTCATTCATCTCAGAATGAGACAGAATTTAGTTTGAATTGAAGTCAATATAATTTGGAGTATAAAACTGAAGAAAGTTGTTAAACATTGAGGAGTATAATAAGAACACACTATAACGTAACTTTGCTCGGATAGGGGTGCTTGGCAGACTCAGTCAGTAGAGCATGCAGTTCTTGATCTGAAGTGTTGTGTTTAGCTCTGCATTGGGTGTGAATATTGCTTAAAAATAAAATCTTTAAAACAGAACAGAACAAAACAAAATTTGCTCTGGTAAAGCAAATTGATTATTGAGGTAAGCATTGGGGAGTAATTTAAAGGAGAGATGGGGGTGGTGCCTGGGTGGCTCAGTCCATTAAGTGTCTGACTCTTGATTTCAGGTCAGGTCATGATTTCACAGTTGGTGGGATCAAGCCAGGCATCAGGCTCTGTGCTGACAGCATGGAGCCTGCTTGGGATTCTTTTTCTCCCTCTCTCTGCCCCTACCGTGGTCACACAATTTCTTTCTCTCTCAAAATAAAGAAATAAACATTTAAAGAAATGAAGGAGAGTTAGGAATGGCAAAGAGTGCCTGATGGGGAAGGGAAGAACAGCATTCCTGGAGGAAGGTTGTATAATCAGATCTAGGACTGAATGTTGCTGAATTATATAGCCTTTATCTGCAATCCACAAGGCATATTATTCCTTGCCACTGTTAGAGTGGCTATAACAGCAGCTGGAATATTCATTTTCATTATGTCTACTGACCTAAGAACAAAGATTTTAATGGACTCCCTTCTTACTATTTCCAAAGTTTGGCCCCAAACTCAAATTTCTTGTATTTATGCTACAGGCTAAAGGTAGAGATAGGAAAACAAATATATTATATACAAATCCAGGAAATGATGAGGTGCAGTACAGCCATCATTTTACTTTCCACAAAAAAATGAAAAAATGAAAAATATTTTGGATATTAACAATTTAATAAATTCAAGGGTCATTCTGGGACTAAGGTGTAACTCTCCAACTTTTATGTGCTAGTGTAAACTGAAAAGCTTTGTTGCTAGTTAAAAAAAATTAGACAGGAG